ACCTACCTAATTAGACTATTTACCGGGTTGCACTAACATGAGTAACACGACGGGTGCCACATGTGGAGCAGGATCTGCTTACCCTTCCGGAGCACCTGAGATCACCCCAGGTTTTGGTGGGGTTCGTGTTGCTTGGTCTTTAATTTTCTATGTTGTGTTTTGTGTACTATTGTTTGTCTGTTTGTCTTTTTCTTTTTTAGCCATGGCGTTGTCAGTTTATTTTCGATTTATGAGTTTGAATGTCCCTCTGGTATCTTTCGCCCCTCTTTCAAAAATTTAGTCGGCAGCAAAATCTATTCAAGAACAAAGGAATTTAATAACGGGTAGGTGTATATTTGGATAATAGACGAGGAGTTTCTGAACGCCACATCAGCATGTGATGGTTATATCATTGCGATGGTACTAGCCCATTTATAAACTTGTAAATAAACAATCAATACGAATTAATTTCAAAATAAGAAAAAATATCCAAATAAATAATTGATCAAAGAAACCAAAAAGATACATAACACTTTTTTTTTTTCATTTTTTGAGATATAATGAGGTCATAGAAACATGCAAGAACCATCAATTGAATAACTATCTTATTGTTGTGTAACGCTAAAATGACAACAATGGAATCACAAGAAGTAAAATTTTTGGTATAGTACATAAATCTAACGTAAGATTTACCATTGCATTAACTATTATTGTAAATTTGTTTCTTAATTCTTCTAAACTGGTTCCAACAGAAAAAAATCCCAATTTTTATACCCCTTATGTTTTCTATCGATTGTTTTTACACTTCTACAATGTTTTTTACGTTGTGAACTGCTGTAATCATACGGACCCAAAGAAAGGACAATATTTAGTTCCATCTATCAATTGTATCTTTTTAATTTTACACAGAAATTGGCTGAGAAAGGGATTGATATCATGATATCATAATACGGATTATTGCTCTATTGACTCCAGCATAATATTATATTGCACGAATTCTCAACTTGAATCATAACAATTACTGTTTTATAGGAATAGTTTTAGTACAAGGAATTCTTTCCTGATATTAGTTTAGATTTTTCCCGGTTAGAAAGAACGAATTTTTAATAAGGTTCAAAGTATAAGGAATGCAAGTGCAACCGCTTATTTTTTCTGACAAGTATAATTACACCTATGACTACGTTCATTTGATAAACATTGCATCATGTCTATCATTGTTATCTCTAATAATCTCTAATATCTGTAATAAAAATCGTTTACTGCTTTTGTACATATAAAGTTTCAACCCGTAAACATATTCTGCAAGTGACACGTTCTTTTTGAAGTTTATGACCAAATCTAAAATGTTAAGCTTCGCAATACTTTTTTATGTATATACAAAAAGCTAAACACTAGACAAACCCAAGAAAGTATTACAAAGAAGAAACACTGAAATAAATTCTACTTTAGGATGTTCGCTCCTCTTGTTTTTCAATTTTTGTCCGATACTCGAAACCCTCTGGTTTTATCCATGCAGTGCCAATAAATCTTTTACCCGCTTACCCCTACTTTTCTTTTCGTAATATTTAATACATATAGTTTAAAAAGCCATAGAAATATGAAAAAACTTAAACCTTATGAAAAGGAAAATAACATGTACTGCTTTCTTTGTGTCGTTTTTGTTAAAAGTTGTTCAAATATTTTCTGTTTGCAATGGTTTTCTTTGTCGTTCTTTGATTTATAACTTTGACTCACCATTGTGGTCGATATTATGATTTATTAATTTTTTTTTATTTTGAAACAATAATGCAGTAAGTAATCAAAAACTACATGTCTACATATCTTTCCTTGCTTTTTGAATTGTTGGGATGTTTTCTCGTCAAAGTATTATTCAGACCACGATTATTCACATTGTAGGGTCTTTCTAATGCACTTGTATTCAATCTGATCACATAGTCAGGCTTCGATTGCCTATTAGGATTTGCCTGTAAAATATCAATTACGCAGCAATATGTCTCCTTGACTAATGCATCTCGTTTGGTAGTTTTCTCTTATATCAAGTATTTAACAATAGTACATGTACTACTTTTATTGTAATAAAAATCTAAAAAAACATTACACGGCAAGTTCCCAGAAAGGTAAGCTTGCATAGCAATTCAGCTTTCCGAATTTTACGACAGTTTTCATTTTGCTCGACAAACAAGTTTGATTTTTTTTTGGAATAATCGAACTAAAAATGTAGTATATTGTCTTTCAGGTTTTAAAAACAAAAGTGTCCCCAAACCTTCCAATAAAAAGTAAGAATATTGGAAATTGTTGAACATCTGGTCTCTTTTATTGGTTGTATTTCTAAATAATGTGTCATCGGCTCAGTTGTCATTCCTTCGGTACTAACATGATTTATAACATATGCTTATTTAAAACTCCCCGTTCATGAAATAATCAATAAACTAATGTCCCAACTCCCTCAAACAAAGTTGACCTTAGATGAATTTGTCCAATCTGTTAAGGTTTTTTTTTGTTGTATAGCACCTCGCGTTTCAGCGTATTTTTGCATTCCTTCCAATTGGTTACGATGGGGTTTCCTGATGAAGGCAAATCCAGAAATGCGAATCAGTGAAAGTCTCATAAGTCAAGGTTAAATACAGACAAAGGTGAAAATGAAAATAAGTTGAATCGCCTGACTTTGAATGGACTTAAACCCAGTGATCATCTTCTGTTATAAATTGATTTGCTTGCATCACAAGTAACACGATTCTAAAATAAGATAGGAATTTAAAAAATACCAGAATTTAAAGATATCAATACTGATTTAGACAGCCACAACTGTTTTGTCGTAAGAATAGAGAGGAACATCATACGCTTGACTATACAGATCTGTATATATTTGTAGATCATACATGATATATTTGTCCACGTTTTACAATTTAGTGTATCACAAGTTAATTGCAATGGCTGACTTTCAGGAAGGTTTGAGATGGAGAGTTTCTATAACTTTCCTACTGGAAGCATTATAGTACTACTACATAAAAAGATGGATGTCTGTTTTCCCAAGAAATCAGTTTCTCGTTATACTATTTGAGGAATACAGAGACAACAAATTTGAGACAATGAATAAAATATTTTCTTTTCTGGAAATAAGTAAGTATAATTTGTTTATCTTTGAATATTAAATCTGTTAAATTGATATCAAAGAGAAAACAGATACATAAGACACAGCATTGCATGTAAATTGCCAAAGAATATCAAACTAACAAGACATACCTGTGAAATGAAAAAAATAACCTTAATTTAACAAGTCATTTTTATATATTCGTGGTTACTGAGCTATTTTAAACGTTTTTTATAAGAAAACCATAAAAACTCATCAGAGATCCCAAGCTTTTACTTTACTGCAGAAGAGTTTCGTCTATATAAACTCATTAGAAAACAACGTAAACCACAAGAATCCAAACAATATTTAAGGCATACTAAGAACAGAAAACGAATCGACAAATAATCTCTTACAGTAGTCGAAATGTTTGCTATGATTGGAAGATATCGTGTTTTTCGACTTTCGATATGATCTTAACCTAGATTTAAGTACAGTCCGGCAAATTGTTATATTCTTGATATTTAGTAGTTGAGCTGACAGTTCACTTTCATACGAATCATAAACAATAATATAGTTATAAAAGAAAGGCAAAAGATACCAAATTGACAACCAAACTCATAAGTCGAAAACGAACTGACAATGCCATGGCAAAAAAACAAAAACGACCAAAAGACAAACAACAGTATACAAAGCACAAAATAGAAAACTAGAGACTGAGTAACATGAACCCCACCAACAATCGGGGATGACCTCAGGTGCACCGGAAGGGTAAGCAGATCATGCTCAACAAATACGTATTTAAGAGTGTATGGCATTACTTATTTCTTGTTTTTTGTTGCTCTAACTTGATTTTAGGACAACTGAATAGGACGGAAATGGTCAAAAGAAATATACTGAAAAAAAAATATCTCATCAATAAAGGACCTAGCTCAATTTACACTCCTTTAACAGAAAAAAGCAAGGAATATGTTATACGATTTCTATGAACCATATATTAAAATGTTGTATGATTATTTAAACGACATTTTCACTTATCGATGGAAAAAAGAGCCGTTTGAAAGTTACAAACTTAATTTTACATAGAACTGTTTCTTTGGGGTTTTTTTGTGTGTATTTTTTAATACTGCTATCGTTTATTTGCATTTTGTTTTGTGTGCTGATGTAGTAAATTAAAGAGAACAATTGTTTTTGAGACGCACCAAAATTATCAGGATATTTCAAGAATTCTAAAACTACTTTTTCGGAAATTTCTGGTCGCTTGAAAGTCAAATGAATCCAAAAATAATAGCCAAATTCATCTACGATTAACGATTAATGTTTCTGTATAAATTCTTAATTAATCTACGGAGGGTTTTAAGTATTATAAATCATGTCGGCATCAAAAAGCAGAGAAATTGACCGAAATAATTCTAAATTCACTTGTTTCAATAGCTTTGCTGAAGGAAACAATTAATTTATTCCTTTTGCCGTAATATCAGTTGTCAGCCGGCCTTTACTGCCAATCAACAAAAGCATCAAGTATTGAATTATTTGTTAAATAGACATCCTCATCAGAACGTGAAATAACAGAAAAATCTTAGTTTCTTTTCACTCTTAAGCCATGTATGAGGTTTGCCTTAATATTGACAAAGAAACAAGTCGACAAGAAGAAGGCCACACTTGGTTCTCTTAGGAAGGCGACAGTCTTAAAAAAACATTTCTACCAAGCAGAAAAAATATGTTGGCAATTGAATTAGTAGCATTTTGATGATTGTCTGAGCTTTTATTCGAATGTGTGCACTATTTCAACCAATCATATTTCCGTCCTAAGACATCCGGTAATATAAACGTGTAATTACAAGTTAAGTGTGTACGACACGTGTTTCTGGAATAACGCTCCTTTCATTTGCTCGTAGCCGAATAATTTGGAATCCCAAAAAACAGACGGTATAACATAAATTTGAATACCTGATTTTTCATATTTAATGCAGAACATAAATTTTTTATTAACAAATAAATTATAAATTAACAAATAAATCATTTATCAACAAACCATCTAATAACAAATAATTCAATATTTTGCATCCTACATTTTTATCAAGTGAATCTCTTTTGTCGAAACGTAATGAAAAGGAAATTGTTGCAGCTGTTAAGAATAAAGAAATAAGCGGATATCAATAAAGATTTCATGCAAATCTGTTTTTAAAGATAATGTTATCTAAATACATCAGAAATGTCGTCTGAACTGAAATACATGTTTGTGTCCCATCTCCAGTCGTGACATATTTGTATGAGTCTGATTTTGAATGAAGAGTAATATATGAATATAGGAGACGTTTACCATTTTGATGCACTCGGCCTCGTTCAGTTTAAACTTCATACGATTCCCTCCGGTTTTTCCGCCTAATTAATATATTCCAAATGGATTTATAAATTTGGAACACCTAAACTGTGGCCTCTAACATTCTTCAGTTTGGGTTTATAAATAGATACATAAGCGTTTTACTATATGCTAATCTGTATGCAAGTGGTAAATAGTGCTCGGACCAATCTGAATAGTTTGTGCATAAACCTTCACGTACATAGCATTACTGTCTTGACCAGGGTTTGTTGGTGATGTTGATTCTCTTGGAGTATTGTCAGAACGAACAGATGTATCTGTATTGTCAGAACGAACAGATATATCGGTAGATCTACTTTTGTTACTATCATTGCTTTCCTCGCTTTCATCACTTGTTCTGCTCTCGTTGCTTTGACCACTTCCCTGACTCTCTCTTTTACTGTAAGAGTCTCTTTTTCCAAACCTTTTACCATGTTCTTTCTCTCTGTTTTCTATGTAATTGCTATTTGAAGTTGGTTCATTTTCTTTGTCTGTGTTCAACGTTTTGTGGCTCATATTGTCACTAATACCATTGTCTGATGTTGCCATACAGTCATCGTTATTGGCTTCAATATCTATGTCTACGACGGTCATCTGGAGTAAAATTCATATATCACAAACACTTAAAACACTATTAGAATGAAAAAATGAGACGGAAGACATCAAACGGACTGTGGTATTAGTCGGGTTAGTTTGAGGTCACCAGACAGACCATCTAGAGATGTTCCGAAGAACTATACAAGAATCAGCCTCCCCTGGTACATACCAAAATGGCAAAACATACGACATACTATAACTGAAGAGCAATCCGGCCAATCCTGATACAGGACCGATCATCCAGGATATTTATTGGTATTTATATATTACTTGGGTGATACTTTTTGACAATTTTGTTGTAACGAAGTTCTGACGTAATAATGTACCAGCTTTATATAAATTATGTTCATTGAAATCTCAAAAATCACTACAGACATAAGCAAAGCGATTGAATTCGGAATTTAACACACCGTAAGAAGAGTCAAAAGAACATCAATTTAAAAAAAGGGAAAAGTGATAATTGGGAAGGAAAATTCCTCTCTAATATTGTAACTTTTTTTATAACATGTTCCAATTTCAGAGATTCTGAGATTTGGAGTTGACATAACCGCCATCAGATCAACCAAACAAACTTTTGAGAGTACAAAATCAAAAAGAGCCTTACGAAAACAGCGAAATTTTACATTGTCTTCGGACGTTGTGGCTTTCGTTTTAAACAATTTACTAAGTTCACAATTCAAAATTCACTATCACTGATTAAGGTGCATCAACGACGAACACGATGATTTAATTTTTATTGTCAACTTCCCATTCTTGAGTAACATACCCTCTTTCCAAGTCTAATGTGTTTTCTAATCACAGTTGATCAAATATCAGCACATACAATAAAACTACTCTGTTCTTGATGGCAGATCTTTGATAGTCTTTATCTCAAAATAAGGGTCAATAAAAGAAAACATTATAGCCAAACAGGAGAACGCCGAAAAGACAGAATGAAATAATTGCCACCGTAATATAAGCTAATAACAATACATAAACTACTCTAGGCAAATTAATGATGACAAAATGACTCAAAAGTCTTTGGTCACCATTACATGTATTAATTGGTCGACCGATACAGTGTCTTAACTTTTCAATTTTCTGGTGACATTCGCTCTGTCAAAGATCTTACATTTCAATTATTGTGAACCTAACATCATTAAGAGATGTATGATGTTCCTGCCATGACCAAAACTAAATGATGTGACTGTTGAATCTTATGGAGAATGAATATATTGTAGGCGATGCTTACAATGTAAATTTGTTGAATCTCGTAAATTTCTCAGCATGTTTTTTTCTATTTCTATTTGTGCTTACTCTCAAATCAGAACTTTGTGTCTTAATGTTTTTATTCGTTGTTTTTGTGCTCTGTATCAATCTGATGAATCAAGCCCTTTGTTGTGCTTTCACACCACTGTTCCAGGTTGGGAGATGGTTGGGCGCCTGTTAACATGTTTAACCCGCCACATCTGTGTGTCCCTGTCCTAAGTCAGGAGCCTGTAATTCGGTGGATTGTTTTTTCATTCTCCTGACTTGGGACAGGCACATACCGAATGTGGCGGGGTTAAACATGTTAGCGGGCGCCCAACCCTCCTATAACCTGGATCAGTGGTGTAAAAGAACATATGAATAAAAATCAGTTGAAAAGAGCTTAACTCATCAGATCGATACAGAGCAAAAAACAAGTAACAAAAACACAAAGTGGACGTGGCAGGGTACTTATGCAGCCCCACAATAAAAAGACACTAAGTACAGATCTGAGAGTACCCGCAGTTACTGACAGCTAGCTCAAAGCCAATAACAACTAATAAAAAAAATCATGCATCTAAGACTAAAATATCAATCAGTACACATCCAACATCCAATAGATTTAGTGTATAGACGTCATTAACAGTCAGAGAAAAACATGACCATGTGCAATGCCAAGATACAGGTATCGACTGACTGTAGAGCCATGAATGTGCATATGTATATAAAAATAATAATTAGTTTGATTTAATTTACTGATAACAAAATCAATATGAATACCAATAAAACATTATTCAAAGATATATTTATAGCGTTAAGAGTTAAAATAAGTTTATTTAAAGGATCGATAAGTTTACCTGGATCTTATATAAATTTCCCGGTTCGGTAAACAACATCTCCGTAAAAATTAGGATGTGCTATCCCGTTAAAAACAAGTTTTTTACAGGTAAACCCAAATTTACAAACCAAATCTTTATATCTATGGAAGAATTTAGTGAAGGTTTTTAGTAATTTGTTGTACCGAAATCCCTTACTTAATAATTTACCAGTAATGCATAGATTACGTTTATTGAAATCCAAAACGTCACAACAGACACGGTCATAGCGGACGAGTCGTTATATATAAACATCGTAAGATGGTGCCAAAGGAAAATCAACGTCCAAAAAAGGAAAATTAACAATAGGAAACGAAAAATCGTCCCTTTTTTCGTAAATTTTAGTGTAGAGTTTCCCGTTTTAAACTGATATATCTAAATCTAGGACAGGACAGTTATTACCATTTATATTTGATTTATTTCATGTAAGTTCTTTTGGGTAAATTTCGGCAGATTATTTTAAAAAAATCTTGATTATTCAAAGTAAAAATATCATCAAGATAACGGTAAGTGTTTTTGAATTTTTCAATTAAATGCAATTTAGACGGGTCTTTATTGAGTTTGGTCATAAACTGTGTTTCATAACGGTACAAGAACAAGTCTGCTATAAAAGGGGCGCCATTGGTATCCATAGGAATACCTACAACTTGTCAATAACTAAAATATTTGCCGAAACGGAGATAAATATTATCAAGGAAAAATTAACAGCTTTAATCATCTCATCACAGCTCCAGTAAGTATATCTAGCATATTTACCTTTCTCATTAGAGAAGAAGGCTTTAAATGAGTTGCAGCAAATATATTTGCATTCAGATTTGCCAAACGAACATTTAATTAAATAGGAAAACTTTTGTTTGATAAGATTGTGCGAAAGTGTAGTGTAAAGAGTTGAAAAGTGAAAACTGTCAACAGAACCAAAAGGACCACCAAAAGCACGTAATTTATCTAAAATATCCAAAGAATTGTTTGCACTCCAAAAATAGTTAATTCCACTATTTTTATATGTTTTATTACAAAAGTTAATGATAAGTTCTTTGATAGTAGTTAAGAAACTAGTTAAAAGCACAAAAAGATTATTTGTAGAACACTTACTAAAGGCCGAGATGAAACGACATTTTACTGGATTTTTGTATAGTTTAGGTAACCAATACATGGTCAGACCTTCAAATGTTTAGAAGAGGCCTCAAGCTGAGATGTGGTTATGATATGCTTGTTGACTATATGACTCTCTGTGGAGCGCACGGACTTGAATGCAGAAGAATTTAAAATTTCATTCTTAGGAACGTCCTTGTAGTATTTATGGCATACCACCACCACAGTGTTAGCTGCTTTGTCGGCCGGTACAAACATGGACAAAGGGATCATATCTAAAATTGACGATTCACAGTCTCAAGTTAGAGGAGTATTATTTTCTACACTGACGTCTGATGTTACTGACTTATAATTAAAAATAAAACTTCTGCTGGTTTTTTTTTTTGTATGTATACGAAATAATAGGTGGTTCTGTGTTATCAAAATAGGGACGTATAAAGTTTTGAATGGTAGAGTCATTAAATATACTCGATAAGTTGATGAAATGAATACCTCTGTTAATATATTTAATTTTCAGAAAATGTCGCTTATGATCTTCAGGTTTATCGATACGCGGGAACAGCCTATGGTGGCAAAAACAGCTGTAATCATACGCGAATATTCATAAAGTGGGCAGAAGGACGAGATTGTGTCACACTCTTTGAAAATATTATGTAATTTAATTGGTATTTGACCCAGTTTACATAATAATTGATGCCTACCATTGTGTTTAAATATAGATAAGAGATCATTGTGTATAATTTATACGATGTTTAATTCGTTGATTTTCGATTTATACGTTTGCCATGAGACTGAGACCTATTCTTACATTGTCTTTTATCAAACATATTCATGATATCAATAGAAGCAGTTTAAGATGTGTTTCCTTGTCCCATTATATTGTCATTTAGACCCAGGGGGTATGCCGTCTGCAGTCGTTTAATCCAAGACAGTTTTATAATTTTACTGGAATCTTCAAATTGTTTATGCGATTGCCCTTGTTGTTTCTAGATCGTTTCGAGTGGTTGGAATCTTATAAATTTAATATTGTGATTGTGTTTACCTAAATGTTGGTGAATTATACTTTTGAAATTCTTAGGTTTTCGGAAGCGGTATAGATGTTCCTATGTCCGTCTAAAAAATCCCCGACTGTTTGTCCCACATATTGTATACCATACTGGCTTTCTTTAAGTAATCAGATAAATGAGGCTTTGAGTTTTTCATGTAATTACACAGGAAAAGGAAAGCGAAAAGGCTCTCCCGTTCACCGTTGGCCTAACAGTATTATAAGAAGATAATATAGATCAGGTTAGTCATTTTCTGTCATTGCACGGAAATATTTGTGAATATCCACATGCATTTTTATTCAACAATCTGGCTGCAGCGGAATTGACACATTTGACACAATGGTAAAAAGTGCTAAATTTAGAAGAGGAATTTCGATTGACGGCGGATTAATATATATTTGGAATACGGTTTTTTTAAGCACGTGAAAATCCTTGAAGGAGTGGTGTTTTTTTATTGTCTTGCCATTTCGTAAAATCATGATTTATTAAGGGTAATGAGAAAATTAAATGAGGCCAAAAGTCATAACATTGAATAAGGATTACAATAACTGAATATATTTATAAAACAATTTATAAAGCAGTCGAAAAACTATATTGAACAGCCCAACCGAATAACGTTTGTAAAACAAACAGACATATTAGTTTGTAAAGCAAATGCCAATACTATAAATATCAACCGAGTCTGCCAAATCGACGGGTTTTCCTTTAAAACTTCTGCTATCATCTCCTTCATCCAAAGTTCTGATTCCTTGTCCGGATTTGGCTATACTTTATGTCCTTTTTTGGTTTGACTCGCTCTTCAACATTGTATAAGATTTTGGATATTCAAATATTTTGCTTCAACCATCACTGAAGAGACATTAATTGTCGAAATGCGCATCCGGTGCATTAAAGTTATTACAGAACTGAACGTATGTACAAGTACTTACCATCTTATCTGGCATATTATGCACACTTTCATAAACGTTACTTTCATTTCCATAACGCTGAAATGCAAAAAGCATGAAATAGTGAGAGAGATTTTTTTCTCTTATATCCAAATATTTCAAAGATATTTTCAATACCATATCCAACTGGTTTTCGATAACTATTAAAATTTGATATTTTAAAGAGAAAAACTAATAACATGTATGTAGAAAACAAAGGTAACGATGAGAGTTAATATTAGTTTCTTTAAATTTCAAATGGCGGGCGTGTAATAAATCTTGACAATTATTGCGGTTTTGTCATTTTGTGACTAAAATTTAATTTGGCAAAGCGATTCCCTACCCAGGTAATTTGATAACACTTGCCAATTACACTAAACAAATTGTTTCAATTTTGAGGTTAAAAAGTACGCAGCTTTTGGGGTGTTGGAATAGTCTGGCATGCTAACACGAATTATTAAGGAAGATATTTACATAATTGGAAACCATACAGTGTACAAAGCGAGAAAACTCAATAGATACTTACTAAAGAATAACGGCTTCCTTTGAAAAAATATAATATTTATATACTTGTATATCGTATTAAAAAATGGTCAATATGTTTTCAGGTTGATGATAGTACCCTTTATATGATGCCAGCCAAAATATTTGTTAACACTTAAAATCTTTAATTATAAGCATGTGCATAAAGAGTCGTTCCAAAATGTTTTTAATGATATTGACAACATAAGAAAACTTCCATAATTCACACTAAACACATCAACAGCACAAAAGTGAGATAGTATATTTCCTTTTATTAAAATGCCAAAGTATAGTAAAATTACCTCAGTCTTAGCGCCTTCATTCTCATACTGGCCAGATGCACTATCTGTTTTTCTCATTTGAACATAAGACGTGTCACTAACATTTTCATTTTCAATGTCATCGTTTGCCTATATGAATTGAAAGAAGTTAAAAAAAATTCAAATAAGCAGATTAATTGACCAATAAATTAATAGCATGTGACACAGTCACAATGTTGTTAGTATAAAATAATTAAAATCACAAAAATACCGAAATCCGAGGAAAATTCAAAACGGAAAGTCCCTAATCAATGGCAAAATTAAAATCTCAAACACATCAAACAACTGGATAACAACTGTCATATTCCTGATTTGGTACAGGCATTTTCTTATGTAGAAAATGGTGGATTAAACCTTGTTTTAAAGCTAGCCAATGTTCATAATCGAAGCATATTTTGTATAAAACCCCTTTCCTGTTTTTCGTTAAATTTACTTGCAACTCAAATGGAGTAACGAGTTGCATTAAAGAAACATGGGACATGTAAATAAACCATTTAAGGTTACACTGATGAGTTATCTAGACGAAACGCACGTATACCAAATAATAAGCCAGGGTATCTTATCACAAAAATTCGTACGATAATCGTAGATCTTTTGTCGTTCGTACGTGTAATCGTAAGATTTTGACCGTTTCATAAAAAATCGTAAGCAATATTTTTCGTAGAATCGATCGTAAACTTGCGAGTGGTAACAGACAGTCGTAAGTAAAATCGTACTGGTTTGCCCTATTGATACTTTGTTAAAATCAACAACATTTCACTACCTTACAGAAAAATTGAGTTCCATGGGATGAACAAAAGTTGATTAGTCCCAATCATAAGTAGCTGAAATTTTAAATTCCTAAAACAATCGTAAATTTACCATTCCTACATTTGAGTTTATTTTAATTGAACTTAAACGAGCACCTTGCTTCAAAGTGATTGAGCTAGCACAGCACTAGGAGATTAATACATTCCGTGCAACTTGGTACTAAATATTCTTTGGCGAGGTTTTTTCTTCTACACCTATACATAATTCAGATAACGATTACAAAGATACTATGATGATCAGTGAAAGTTTTCAGAAACATTAGTGAACATTTAAATAGCAAATCTTACTAACTTATTTTGAACAATATCCCGTAATTTTAGCTGAATGAAACATATCTAGTGTTATTGTAGACTTTATTATTTCTGTTTGGACATTTGAATATTAATATCATTACCTTCTTTTCAGAGGTATCCACAGTTTCATTTTCATAATGTACAGTACCACTTTTCAAACATGTTCGTTTGTTTAGCCTATTTGCATTCGTTTTTTCTTTCTTAAATAAAACATAGTTTCAAATGTCTTAAATGTAGTCAAGAACAATCAATGCACATAAATTAAGTTAAAAAAAAATGAAAAATCTAAAATATTCACATATGTGCTGTTCAATTAAGCAAAATATATATATATATATATATAAGTTAAAGAAAAACATATTTAAAGTGTGTTGTAATAGTAATTCTAACATAAAGAATGTCCCATCGTCTCCAAAGATCTTTTTCTTAAAATCTTGTATAAACTTGAACGATTAAGATACACGATATGGATACGAGGGTGATTTAGAGTTTGATATATGGTAAAGATACTTTAGTGATTTGAATCGTAATACATGGTATGGATACTTTGGTGATTTGAATCGTGATACATGGTATGGATACTTTGGTGATTTGAATCGTAATACATGGTATGGATACTTAGGTGGTTTAGAGCTTGTTACGTGTTATTAATACTAGGGCGTTTTAGAGTTTGAGATACATGGTATGGATACTTGGGTGGTTTACACCTTGTTACGTGTTATTAATACTTGGGCGTTTTAGAGTTTGATACATGGTATGGATACTTGGGTGGTTTAGATCTTGTTACGTGTTATTAATACTTGGGCGTTTTAGAGTTTGATACATGGTATGAATACTTGGGTGGTTTCGAGCTTAAGACGTGGTATTGTAAAATATGTCATTGATTTTGTGTAATGTGTAACCAACAATTACCAGCAATTCTTTTTGAATTGAATTTGAATAACAGTCCTGAGATGCTTAACCACATTTCCCTCTCATTTGAAATATAAACAGTCATCGATTGTTACAGTCGTTGTTGATTTGGTAGTTTGAAGAACAATATTAGAGGTATTAATGACATAAACAGGTCAAAATGTTCTGACTTATAAAAGTCAGAATACAAGAACCATGTTTGTTTAATTTTTTTACATAAAAATACTAGCTTATAAAAGCATCCCTTATTTGTACACGTTCCTTATGCCAATTACGTTTATTTTGATATTCATTTAGGGGTAAACACAATAAAAACATGAAAGAGAAGTTAATGTTTCACTTAGATATAAATAAAGGTTACAAAAATCGTTTATGAAAGGCAACACTAGATGCGTAATACAGAGTTATTAAAATTTATTCAAATAAAAAAAGATAGCAAAATTCAAAAAAAGTTTGTCAAACATGTAACTAGTCCTAGATATAAGAAGATGTGGTATGAGTGCCAATGAGACAACTCTCCTTCCAATTCAAAAAAAATTCTAAAAGATGTATATATTTTGTTTAACTGTTTACAGTTTTATTTTGTTGTATGGCTGATGCAAGAGACTTCCAGGTATCAAACCAGACCTTAGCAGCTTGACGAAATATCGTTATATTAAGTTTTATAAAGTATGAATTTGAAGCATAATATATCATAAATCACTAAAAAAATCATACCTCCAATAACTTTTCAAGACATCATTTAGATTATTATATTTCATTACATCCTATTTTATGACATCATCCAAACAGAAGGATGATGTCATTACATGAAAAAGTAGTTTAAAAAATAGTGAGATAGTTGTGGGCATTTTCAATAGAATATATGATGTTTAGATAGAGTTACCAATCTTTGGGTTTCTAAATCTATGTTTAAGATTACTCCTTACAATTGGTAAATTGACAAAAAGTCACAGGAAAAAAGTCACAAATTTGGTAGGAAGAAAGTCACACATTTGATTAATGTCGGGGAAAATTACAAATCTATTAGAAAATAATGTACTTCTCTGCACATTTACTAGGCAGAAACATATATGTATTACATGTCTCTGATGTATGGGGAAAAGTCACAGGATAATTATTTAAAAATTCATGATAATTTGTGTCATATATGAAGTAAATGTCAATTGAATAGTGTTTAGTAATATTTCAACTTCTTTTAATGAGTACGAAATTTTAAAATAATGCATTTGCAAATCATACTACTGTTTAAGTTTAGAATAAATATGCAAGTTTTTAGAATCTTATGTATTTTATACAAGTTGTAAACAGAACTTGAGTTTTCTCTGAATGAACTATTTAAGTTTTTTTAAATATTCTGTAATTTCTAAACTTATTTTCACTTATTTCATGTGCTCTTGCTATTATTCTATAAATCATTCAGATAACGATTATAAAGATACTATGATGATTAGTGAAAGTTTTCAGAATTGATAGTGAATATTTAAGTAGGAAATCCTATTTTACTTATTTCGAACAAAATCCCGAAATTTTAGAGTTAAGTGTTTTTGTAGACTTTATTATTTCTTTTTAGACATTTAAATTGATATCATTACCTTCTTTACAGAGGTATCTACAGTTTCATTTTCATAATGCACAGTACCACTTTTCAAACATGTTCGTTTGATTGGCCTCTTTCCATTCGTCTTTTCTTTCTAAAAGAGAACATATTTTAAAGGTTTAAAGTGAAATCAAGAATAACCAATTCACATAAATTCAGTTCAAAAAATGAAAAAATTTAAATCATTCACATGTGCTGTTCAATTTAGAAAAAAATATAAATTAAAGAAAAACATATTTAAATTGTGTTAAAATAGTGATTTTAACATGAAAAACGGCCCATCGACTCCGAAGATCTTTTTCTTCAAATCTTGTCTTAAGTTGAGCGATTGAGATACATGATATGAATACAGGGCGTTTTAGAGTTTGGTACATGGTATAGATACTTTGTTGATTTTAATCATGATACATAGTATGGATACTTTGGTGATTTGAATCGTAAAACATGGTATAGATACTTGGGTCATTTAGAGCTTATTACGTGTTATGAATACTTTGGCTATTTAGAGTTTGATACATGGTATAGATACTTGGGCTATTTAGAGTTTGATACATGGTATGGATACTTGGATGATTCAAATTTTAAAACATGGTATAGATACTTGGGCTATTTAGAGTTTGATACATGGTATGGATACTTGGATGATTCAAAGTTTGATACATGGTATAGATACTTGGATGATTCAAAGTTTGATACATGGTATGGATACTTGGATGATTCAAAGTTTGATACATGGTATAGATACTCGGGCTATTTAGAGTTTGATACATGGAATGGATTCTTGGATGATTCAAAGTTTGATACATGGTATAGATACTTGGACTATTTAGAGTTTGATACATGGTATGGATACTTGGATGATTCAAAGTTTGATACATGGTATAGATACTTGGGCTATTTAGAATTTGATACATGGTATAGATACTTGGATGATTCAAAGTTTGATACATGGTATGGATACTTGGATGATTCAAAGTTTGATTGATGGTATAGATACCTGGGCTATTTAGAGTTTGATACATGGAATGGATACTTGGATGATTCAAAGTTTGATACATGGTGGTATAGATACCTGGACTATTTAGAGATTGATACATCAATGATTTATAGAATAGTTAACCTTAGCTGTATTTGGCTTAACCTTTCTGAATTATGGGTCCTCAATGGTCTTCTTGGCTTTTTTAACATTTTTCAAATCAGGCGTCCCTGATGAGTCTTTTGTAGACGAAACGATAGTCTGGTGTACACAATTTTAATCCTGGTATCTTTGATGAGTTTATTTATAGCTTAGTACCTGATATGAATTCTTATGTGCTTTATAGTTTGAAACATGGCATCGGTACTGTGGCGATTTAGAGTTGTATACATAATTATACAGTTGCTGGTTAGATAAGGATTGCTCAGTCTTTGGTTTTTCTCTGTAGTGAAATGCTGTTTGGCTTTTCATCTTTTCGTTTGCCAAAGTGTTGTCTATTTTTAGCTCACCGGGGACCGAAGGGCCCCATGTGAGCTTATGCCATCACTTGGCGTCCGTCGTCGTCCGTCATCTGTCGTCGTCGTCTGTCATCGTAAACTATTTCAAATATCTTCTCCTTTGAAACTACCAAAATTGTCAATTGACCCCTTAAGGAGTTATTGCCCTTTAAAGACAATTTTACACAATTTGTTCATCAAGTTTTCTAACATTTAAAAATCTTCTCCTCTGAAACTACTGGGCCAAATACCTTCAAACTTCATCTAAATGTTTCTTAGGATATCTTGTTTATAAACTGTATCCGAAGTTTTAATCCATCGACAAACATGGCCGCCATGGCTAAATATAGAACATAGGGGTCAAATTCAGTTTTTGGCTTATATCTCCAAAACTAAAGCTTTTAGAGCAAATCTGACATGGTGAAATTGTTTAATTGGTCAAGATCTATCAGTGCTGAAATTTTCAGACAAATCGAACAACCCTTTGTTGGGTTGCTGCCAATAAATTGGTAGTTTTGAGGAAATTTTGCAGTTTTTTGTTATTATCTTGAATGTTATTATAGATAGATATTAACTGTAAACAGCAATAATGTTCAGCAAAGTAAGATCTACAGAAAAGTTAAATGACCAAATTTGTCAATTGACTCCTTAAGGAGTTATTGCCCTTTAAAGACAATTTTACGCAATGTATTCATCAAGTTTGCTAACATTTAAAAATCTTCTCTTCTGAAACTGTTGTGCCTAATACTTCTTAACTTTGAATGAATGTTTCTTTAGGAATCTAGTTTATGAATTGTATCCGATATTTTGATCCATCAACAAACATGACCACCATGGCTAAAAATAGAACATAGGGGTGAAATGCAGTTTTTGGCTTATATCTCAGAAACTAAAGCATTTGAAGCAAATCTGACATGGGGTAAATATGTTGACAAGGTCAAGATCTATCAGCCCTGAAATTTTCAGACACACCGAACAACCCATTGTTGGGTTGCTGCCACTAAATTGGTTGTTTTAAGGACATTTTGCAGTTTTTGGTTATTATCTTGAATATTATTTAAGATAAAGATAAACTGAAAACAGCAAAAATGTTCAGCAAAGTAAGATCTACAAAAAAGTTTATATGACCAAAATTGTCAATTGACCCCTTAAGGAGTTATTGCCCTGTAAGGACAATTTTACACAAGTTGTTTTATGTTTTTTAACTTTAAAAATCTTCTCAAATGATTCTAGTATAAATTTTGTATTTCATTTCCTTGTACGTCAAGAAACATAGACACTATGGCTAAAATGGAACATATGGGTAAAAAGCAAAAATAATCATTAATGAAAGATTTAAGCAAAAAATATAAGAGGTGAGCGATTCAGGCTCTTGAGAGCCTCTTGTTTTTTTTTTCCAATTCTTTTTTCGAAATTTTTACCATTTATTGACCTAAAGTTTGTCTCTTTTTATGTTTTTGTGATAGTGTGTCATTTAAATTTATCCTACATTTCCTATTGTTTGATTGTATTTTGTTTTGAATGGGAAGCTTCCGTTTAGTTACTGACACCCTGATATGATCACACTTTTTGAAATGTTCTACAGTGGTGAATATCGTGGTTGAACTGGTTTATTTCTCCTGAGTAATATGGTATATTTTTGTTAAGAAAGGGAAAAACAGAATAGGAAAACCAAACTAAATGCTGTTACGTTAAGATTAATCGTTAATGTGAATTTCAGATTCCGAAACTATTTATACCCTTTTAACTTTAGTGTCTTCAATAACAACAGGCTCATCAGCTTTCTTGGTGGTCTCCGTTTCGTTTTTACTCGTATTCCCCTCTGTGTGGTCTAATGACTTGTGAACATAAAAGAAAACTATGTACATTAATATCAAACTAGTATAAAGAGTTCCAAAATTTTTTTTTAAAATATCTCCTTACTTTCATTTACTTCCGCCTTTAATAAACGACGTTTTAAAAGAAAACTCAAGGGTTTAACACAAAAACATGCAGTTAAACATTTAAAGAATTGTTTTTCATTTGTCATCTCGGGATATTTCACAGCTGACTTTGCGGTATAGGTTTTGCTCATTGTTGAAGGCCGTACGGTGACCTATAATAGTTGTTATCTTCTATGCCATTTGGTCTCTGGTGGAAAGTTGTATCATTGGCCATTATACTACATCTTCTTATTTTTATCAATAGACATTTAAAGAGCTTTTCTTCGAAACCGATTTGCTGAGAGGAAAATATGATGCCTACAGGGTAACTTATGACTCGAAATAAAGATGTGAACTTTGATCTGAAATCTGCCATTGCTGGCTACCTAGTACATCGTTTATACAAAGAGTTATGGAAAAATACTTCTTGCAAATTTTACGGACAATAGTAAAATAATGTAAGTAGGATGATATTATAGTTTTTCTTTTTTTATTTTTAAGATAGGCTGAAAAGCAAAATAACCCTGCTTAATTTTATTAAAAACGCCATATATGAAACACATGTAAACAATTCTGTAGAGCAAATATATTAAGCGTAGATGCAATATTGTTATTTTTCAAAATATAAGTGATGTTTAGACCAATCATAAAACTATAATGTCCGCGGGACATAGTTTCAGAATGTGCCACTCTAGGATATGGCTGTTTCTTGCAACCACTCAATAAACAGAACCAATAATGTCAATTCAAAATGAAAATATGGTCTGTCTCTAATCGCTCATTTTGTTTTAACAATTTATGGCCAATAAACTAAATAATTGATTGCAATTTGATTGAAACACAAACCGTCATTTCCTAGAAACAGCTTCAACGACTAGAATAGTATTACCCAAAGCTAATCGCAATCATTGTCAGACATAGCACTTGTTATGTTGATGACTATCATCTGACATCAAAAATAGCCTATAGAACATATGTTTCTCATATGATAAAATGAAAATTACATATCATTTTGTTTTTGAAATATAGAGAATTGGAGAAGATACAATAAAATGATTTTTTTTTAATTCTCTACATCTGAAACTATTATTACATTAGTTTATTTACCTCTTCGTCACTTTTCTGTGATTCATTACCTGTGCATCTACATATTTCTCCTGTGACTGCATAATCATATTTTGGCTCCTACAAAAATAAAATATTGAATATTTTGATCGTACCTTGATATGTACTTTCTTATTTCCGATATTCTTACTCCATAATGTAATATTTTTTTCAAGCAAAACGATCGTTCGTATATCAATTAGAAATTATTTTAAGATTTCTGATCCACAGTGTACCCCTCTAAATTCAAAATAATTTATTTGCAATAATTATGTTTTATCAATAACTGTTTTGTTTGATATATATATATAACCATATGGAACCTGATACTACTCCAAGTTTTAATTGTAGATTTTATCCACAAAGTTTTAAACAAATGTGTTCGTTTAACTTTGATGTTTACGTATTTGTATTTGTCCAGTCACCAGTCTTATACTTTTGAGTTGTCACAGGAGCTTTTATGTTCTGGGAGGGGATATATTTTCAGTTTCATTTTAACTTTGATTTACATTTTAAAACTTGATAAGACATCTTTTGTTTGATTTTATCATTTTACACAACAGTACATGATTAATTGAATAGCGTTAGAATTATTCATCCGCTCATTGATTTTCAAGTTATAAAGATAGTTTCTTCCTGAACTTTGACCTTACTTGATAAGTTTCCTTCCATATTTTGCTGCACCTCTGGATTTTTCCTTGCCCATGCAATTAAAAAAATTCAGGGAACAACTAATTTCTCTATAACTTTCAAAATACATCGCAAATACAAGTGCTGTATATATTTTGACTTATAGAAAGGAACATCTATACATTTAATTTTCCTTTAGCTATATTTGCAATAAGTATTCTACGACAATGTGAATATGCGATGTAAAAAAATATCACTGATTGTATTCATTTTGATTATTAAATAAACACTGCCATTTCGTTTTGCAAAAACAGATTACATATTCAGGACTATAACAATTTAAACAGTTCATAGAATAATTAGGTACACAAAGAGCAAAATAGATCGACTGGAATAAGGGGGGGGGGGGTGATATTTGTACTGTCACAGGAAAATGGGGGGGGGGGGGGGCGGCGCCATTCTATGAAAGTGACGTTTAACACCAACAGACAAACAAACACACAATAGATATAAGAAGATATGAGTGCCAATGAGACAACTCTCCATCCAAGTTACAATTTATAAAAGTAAATCATTATAGGTCAAAGTACGGTCTTCAACATGGAGCCTTGGCTCACACCGCACAGCAAGCTATAAAGGGCCCCAAAAATTACTAGTGTAAAACCATTCAAACGGGAAAACCAACGGTCTAATCTATATAAAAAATGAAAAATGAGAAAGACTTATGAACCACATTAACAAACGACAACTACTGAACATCAGATTCCTGACTTAGGACAGGTGCAAACAATTGCAGCTGGTTTAAACGTTTTAATGGTACCAAACCTTCACCCTTATCTGAAACAATAGTGTAACATCACAAAATAGAATGACACACTATAACATGTTTATAAATTATGAATAATGAATTCATTTCTGGCTTATGTTGACAGAACATTTGCAAACTCCAGATTTGAGTGGCTAGTCTAAGCGATACACATCTGAATAGATGTATGGTTAGGTTCAGCATACTGAAATCCATCGAAAATTGAATACTGTTTTTTTTTTTAATTTATACGAAATGAAATTTATATGAAATCACATTTTGAATGAATCGCGGAAGCGCTTCTAGCTTAAAATTTGATGGGTAGTAGCTTTAATTTCAATTGCATGTGACGGAATCAAATGATTCGTCTTTCAGAAAATAAAAGATCGGCATTTGTATGAATTGAACACCTACTGTAAATATTATAATATATATTGATAGTATACCCCTTGTTCATCTGATTCTTTTGCTCTCAAGTTGCTGTCATGCGTGGGATTTTTAACATAGCGCTGCAGTGTTGGGTCCTGCTCTCCACAAACACCTGATTGTCTAATACCCTCTTCTCTTTCAATCTTAAACTATTTATATGAAGTAAATCAACTGTTGCGTTATTCTTTTTTCGAAATATATAAATTTCCATAACATAAATGTTAATTAATTACAAGAAATAATTGAACCATTAACTACCAGACTGTTATTTGTATATGTTCTGTCTGCGTTAATGCATATACATATGTAAAAAAAAAGGTGAGGAAATGAATATTTTTTTGGACGGGGCGAATACTATTGATTTAACTTCGTTTTTGTTTTGATTCCAGCTCCACTGATGAATATAATGTAGACGAAACGCGCGTCTGGCGTACAAAATTACTACCCTGATATCTTTATTCAGTTTAAACATTTTGTAAATAAGCTGAGGTATAACTTAGGAGATTGCATTTGAAAATTTTAAACAATAAAAAAAATGAATTTAATTAGATTAGTAAATTGTATTCACCCCGGCCCGTCCATCAAAAACCAAATACGCTAAACGCGAAGGATAGTAACAAATAATATAGAAAGTTTACATTTGTAATTATCAAATATAACAAATCGGGTAAATAATTACCTCGGTGCTGCTTTCCTGATGTGTTTCATGGCAGCATGTAATATTTCTGATTTTACAATAAATGAATCCAACTATTGTAATAGCGAAATATACGATTCCAGCAATCCCGACAACCATGCATATTGTCTCATTTTTAAATAACATCGTGTTCTACCTCTAATTATTCAATTATTCATATATACAGAATTTATCTCTTGAAACAGCGTGCATTATTGTCGTTGATCCCTCTTATTGGGTATTTGCATACCTGCTGTGAACATTTTTGGTAAAAAAAAATGTAATTTCAGATAAACAAAATAGACGATATTAGCAGAAGAATGGACTTTCCAAGAAGTACTAATTGTATACGTATACATGTTCCTCTTTAATCGTTTTAGTTTAATAATTGTCAATAGAAAAATATGTCTAAACTTTCTCATGCATTCTATTAGCTCTTGATTCTAAGTTTAACTTGTTATTCTAATATCGTAAGTAACGTTTCCTTATGACACAACTCAAAACATGACAGTGCGTCATCCCGGGAACAGGTTTTTTTGTTGTTGTTGTTATGATTGTATAGGCCGGTTTGAATTTCATTTCCTACTTGTGTATAATTATGCTTTGAATGCATTCAATTGATTCATCATACAAACTAAATTCAATAGTTTTTATATGTTACACGGAAGCTTGTACGTGAACTTATATATATATATTTATGAATCATAATAAAAACAATCATCAAATCTTAACGTAAGTCTATAATACAATGTGTTGGTCTTAACTCGACTAAAAAAGATCATGATAATTAGTAGGAACTCATCAGAGATACTAGGTTTATAAATTGGTACGCGAGGCACGAGTGTGACTGTCATCTACATAGTCATCATGATAGTTTGTAGATTAAAATGTTGAGACGAATGAATTGTACATCTTTTATCGTTTTTGTTGTTATATCCTTATTATGTTTTTTTGTAAATTATCAAATTATGCATGGATATAAAAGTTTATTATCTACTATACCAACTATTCAAAAAACTCATTTACAGCAAAAAGCGTAAAATTATTTACTGACCTACTAGGGAAGTTAATCCAACAGGCTTTCTCTTTTCTTTTGAAATACCAGGATTTTTTTGCGCGTTTAATAAAAAGTGTAAATTAAGGAAGCACCTTGAAAGTCCCTAAAATATTCATATTTATATTTATAGATTAAAAATTTTGCATCTTTTTATAAATATATTAATAAATATTCACAATTAAGTTTTAAAAATCAAACATTTTTATTAATTCAAGAAATATAATTCAACAAAACACATTACATTTTAGCAGATTATGTCTGAAATTTCCGGTTATGAGCTTATTTGAAAGTGTGAACAACATCAGTAAGGACCAATTGTTAAATAATTTTGAAAACTTATTAAAAATATGAATAGCTGATAAACAAAAAAGGACAAAAAGTATAGCCAAAGCCGGACAAGGAATCAGAGCTTGGCATGAGGGAGATAAATGTCAGAATGGATATTAAGAATATAGATGTCGATTAAGGATTATCTTTCTCTAACTTGATATCAGAATCAAATCATTCCGAAGTTCCCAATGTGTTAACTGTTCCAATATCCGAACAGTCACAAATTTAAGATAAAATTTAAATGAGATGTGGTTTGATTGCCAATGACGCAACTATCAAACAAGGTCTAAATGACGTGAATTTAAAGCAATTATAAGTAACCGTACAGCCTTCAACAATGAGTGAAACCCTTACCGTATAGTAAGATACAAAAGATCCCGACTAAAAAAAACTTACGGATTGAGTTATGATAAAACACTAAACAAAACTGATTTAACAGACGACAAACACTAAATAACAGGTTCCTGACCTTGGACAGACACATACATAATGTGGTGGGGTTAAGCGTGTAAAGTGTAAGCGTTCCACACTCCCCATTATCCCCTGTCACACGGGACAATGGAGTAACAGCACAACGTTAGACCAAACTGTAAAAATTAGTTGGAAATGGCTTCAATCATCAGATCACACAAAGCACAAAAAACAATTAACATAAAAATGAAAGACGCAAAAGAGAGGCGAAAGATACAAGAGGGACATTCAAACTCATAAGTCGAAAATAAACTGACATCGCCATGGCTAAAAAAGAAAAAGAACAACAGACAAACAATAGTACACAAAACACAACATAGAAAACTAAAGACTTAGCAACACGAACCCCACCAAAAAACTGGGGTTGATCTCAGGTGCTACGGAAGGGTAAGCAGATCCTGCTCCACATGTGGCACCCGTCGTGTTGCGCATGTTAGTACAAACCCGGTAATAAGTCTAATTCGGTTACGACATCAGGAACATATATGCTTTCATCTGTGAAACGGATATTCCATAACGGACAACAAACTCGTGATGGCGTCCTTAAAACTTACGAAGGTATGACTTCAACTTCACCACTTGGAACTCTTGGTTTAATAGCTTCCTTGAGAGCAGCAACCTTCTATCAAGGAAATCATGACAGTGATAGGAAAAACAAGCCCTGGAATATCGTATCAACTGGGAGATATAAACTCTGTATGCAGGGGCTGCTTGAATGTTACTACGGTGCTACATAGAATTGGAATGTTCACAATTGGGAAGCTGAAATATTAATATTGTTTTCTGTGTACAAAGTAACTACACATTTAAGCTTTGTTTCAAATAGAACATCTTCCTTGTAATTAAATACAATTGTGACTTCACAGTATTAAGGGAAACCTTTACGGCTTATGGTTTATTAGATATGATTAAATAAGAATATGATATTTGTTTAACAAACTTTTCCGTATGGTCAATAACAAGGGGTTAAGAATTTTGTATTATATTGTCAATAAGTTTGTTCAGATCGACGAAGGTAGTTGTGTAGTAATACACAAAGATACACAAAGATACTACATACATGTGATTTGGTCTTTGGTGATTGTCAGTTATAACATATCTATTTATATAAATGCATTGTAGTTCATAATTTTAAAAAATGGTTTTCTTCAACATCCCTAGTTTTTATAGTATGGTATGTGTTGGGTTTAATTATGTTTTCCTTGTTGTATTCTGTAATTATTTTCAGTGCCGGTGTGGTGTTATTGGTAGCGTTCAACATAAATCACACATTAGTACCCCCTCCCCCCCCCCCCCCTGAAGTTCGTCCCTGATTTGTTTTATGATTAATATTGTTTTCTATGTACTACTCTGCTATGTCTATCTTATCGTTTTTTTGGTTTTTGTTTTTTTTTTCCTTTGAATTCTACCAATTTTTACAATCTTTCGTTTTCGCTACTTTCTTAATATAGCGTAGCGTAAAAATATCTTATAGTTATAAATTTGTGAAATATAAATTTATCATGTTTATAATTCATCAATATGAACTATAAATAAATTTCAATCACGCCAAAATATCTTTTCCATTAATTATGACCGTTACATACGGATTAGATCGCTTAATACATAAAAATGAAATAAAATATGTCCTTTATTGATAAATTTTCAAACTTTGAACGATTTTTATTATCGTATATTAAATTTTTCAGTTACGAATGATGAACAATTTGCATTAAATTTCTTCCGGCTTATCGTTTAAACAAAACTTGTATTTAGATAAAATTATTAGATGACGTTTTTTAACAATTATTTCGTTTCGCCATTATAATAGGAAGTTATAAAAGATCATGATCTATCACGGAATTACAAACTTCTCTACAAAGTTTCGCGCTATCATATCAATATTATTAATGAAATGCTTTGTATATGCTAATCTTTATTTTATATTCTTTTATGCACCATTTTCTTTCTACTGATAAAGATTGAAAGGGAAGAATTGAATGACATACGAGAGTTGAAAAGGTTAAACTTATTGTCTGCTGTAAAATGAAAAAAACACTTTATAATTAGGTGCGTTCGAAGCACGTGTCTTGGTTCATTTTCCTCAGGAACGCTCAAATTAAAAAATGTGAAAGCAAATAATACATAAGTATTTGAATACGTGAGGAGCTAAGTGTGACCAAATGGGACATAGAAGAATAGCGAAATCCATCTTAGCTCAGATTTGCCTGTGAAGTTGGAAGCTAACGTTTCTTTAAATTTTCTAAATTTATCAACAGAGAATGTAAGAATAGTATGTTAAAAATCAGGTCAGTGCCGAAGCATTGACTACTGAGTTGATGATACTCTCGGGGACTATCCGTCCATCAGCAGCGGTATCGACACAAGGCTAGACGTTGAAAATAGCACTTTATGAATTTGAAAATAACAGACTATAAAATAACACTTCACAAAATTGGTAAAGTCTCAAACTGAAATCAACCTATTGGTCAAATGAAATCTGTAAGATGTACATGCTCAAGAACATGTAATTAATTCAAATGTGAAATATTTCAACCTATAATGTATTTCACCTGAGCTACACCCTTAATTTAAACACTTCAGTAACCACTGGAAACGAGGCCAAGATCATGTTTCGACTTGGGACAGGCGCAAAAATACAACGGGGTTAAACATGTTTTGTGAGATCTCAACACTCCGCCTTTACCTCTAGCCAATTTAAAATAGAAACGCACAGCAATACGTACAGTAAAACTAGTTTTAAGAATATTTTAACCACAGGTAATCTTGTCTTGTGACCGATGAGTGGAGATATTTTGAAGGCGGTTTCGTCATAATAGAACTTAATATATGCTTTCCGAAACTTACAAAGAAAAGTGTGAATCAGTGATTAAAAATAGAAAAAAATTTCCATCAAGGTTGGTTTTCATCGCAATACTTTCCTGCTTTCCTTGTGTGTTAATCTTGGTCCATTATCTTAGCCTATCCAATACTTTTTTTGTTTAGTTTAACATCTTTAACCGGAAATAAATGTTTCATTAGAAAAGCAATAAATTTTAGTTTAAAAAGAATATTATTTCAAAACGAATTGTTAGATGTTAAATCTACATTACGTATTGATTTATGGAGTTCTTGTTTCTGATGTCCATATCGAGTAAGTTACAACATGTACTTCTTAGATTATTATTTGAATGAGAAACGACAGGCAGATGTTTATTTTACATTCATCGATACTCTGTTGTCGCAGTTTTTAACAATGGTTGCAGATATTAAGGTAGTTTAAAAAAAAAAGTAAAATAACAAAAATACCGAACTCCACGTAATTCTCAAAACGGGAAGTTCCTTGTCAAATGGAAAAATCAAAATCTGAAACACATTAAACACGAATCGAAAACAACTGTCATATTCCTGACAAGGTACAGGCATTTCCTTCTGTAGAAAATGGTGAATTAAACCTGGTTTTATAGCTAGCTAAACCTCTCACTTGTATGACAATCGTATAAAATTCCATCATATTGACAACAATGTGTGAGCAAAACGAACAGACATAATAGGTAAAAATGTCAAAAAATGGGGTATAGCAGTCAACATTGTGTTGTAATCTTAATCACTATAAAACAACTATGTAAACAAAGAAAAACAAAATGGCATATAGACACTCTATGGACAAAGCATATAAGCAAATATGAAAGACAAGAATACAAATAATGAACATAGCACAATAATACAATGGCGGGATGTATAAATACCGAGCCACGCCAGAAAGATATTACCAAAAAATAATGGACTATACAGTTAAGGTTAAAATATACAAAAAAAGACAAATAAAAAGAACACTATAACACGTAATTAATATGATTAGCAGCAAAATCTTAAGTTGCCAATTTCTTCTGCTTTAGAAAAAAACAAATGTACAAACATTCTTTCATTTCACCCACAGATATATGTGTAGTGATGTTATTTCACGCAGTACTTTTTTATTTGTGATTAAAGATCGTCGTCCGCCATAAGTATTCGTAAAAACAAAATGGCCGCCAGTCAATGTACATCTACACATGAAAAAACTTGGAACTATTGAACAAGTAACAAAATTTAAAAAAATCCTACCTTAATACTTTGTAATGTTTCCATTGTTCCTCATTACTCGTATCCTCCTAGGAATGCTGTTATACAACGATTTCAGGTAAGTTATGGTTAAATTGTCCCATATGTCACGAATTTCACGTTCCAGGTCTTTGGTATATTTATGTTCTGAGTTCGTTTTTCCAGTT